TTTATTCGTTGTCTTTGCAAACTTCGTGATCTGTTGATGTTAGTAGCCAGAGAAAAATTTTGTAATTCCCTGTATAAAAATCTTGGTTGGTTTATTTGCTAATAGAAAAAAGGTTTTGCTGTAACTTGTAAAATATTCGTGGTCTGCTGGTATCAGTACCTGGAAAAGCTTTGTTGGTTTCTGTAAAACCATCCGCAGAAAGTGATGCTTTGCATTTGGTGGGATATCAAAGGCGTAATTCATTTCGAACTCTTCAATCCACAGCAAACTGTCAATGTAGAGATCTATAGTCAGCAACTGGAATGTTTAAACCAAGCCCTTCATCACAAACGCCCTTCACTCGTCAATCGGAAAAGTGTTCTTCTTCTCCACGACAGTGCACATCCACATGGACACATTTGACGCAACACAAGATTGTGGAGTTGGGTTGGGAAGTTCTCCCCCACCCACCATATTCTCCAGATATGGCACCATCAGATTACCATCTTTTTCGTTCGCTACAACACCATCGTAATGAGAAAACGTATAGAAATGTGGAAGGTTTTAAAGAGGACATCGATATGTTTTTTTGCTTCAAAGCCAAATTATTTCTTTAATCAGGGCATTAACAACCTGATTGTAAGATGTAAAATAATCATCGATAAGAATGGAGACTATTTCATTTAATAAATGTTTTGTTTTGATATATAAGTTGTTCGGGTTTTTTCATCATAAAAAAGCGACCTAATATATATGTGTGTGTGTATGTGTGCATATGTATATATATATAGATATGTGTGTGTATGTGTGCATGTGCATATATATGTATGTTTATATATATGTGTATGTTTATATATATATATATATATGTTTGTTTATATATATATATATATTTTGTTTATATATATGTGAATGTTTATATATATGTATATGTGTAAATTAGCTGTTACATAATTAAGTACTCGACGTGTCACGTGTTTAATAAATTGTCTTTTTGAGACGTCTTCATGAAGTTTTTATAAAATGTGTTATTCTTCATAGTCACACATAAACTCTTTTGCTGCCCATTTACTGTCCCTAGCGTAGGAATCGAACCATATATTTGAGTATTATAAGCTCTCAAGCTTACCGTTAAGCACACGGATATGCATATAGAGGGATCAAATTCTAATGTAAATGATGAACCAGTAAAGACTTTCTAGTTATTGATAATATTTTTTTACCATTCTTCATCACGAGATTAGTAATTGCATTCTTTAATCACATGAGTATCCTCGCTATTATCGACATTTCGGCCGTAAAACTAATAACGTCACACACATGTTTCAACAAGCTTATCAAACACAGAAGCCATGTGAATAGAAACAGAAAACTGATATAGCCGTCCACAAATCCTGGGAAATTCAACTGTTTTAAGACTAAGAAGAAAAAATAAACATTGAAACACATTAACAACAAAGATTATTTACGAAGTTCTGGCCACTTTCAAATTCTCCTGTTCACAATCATAAAGAGAAGTAAGGTCAGAGCAAAAAATGGTCTTCTTGCTATCTTCGAAAGCAGAGTGGTTAATATTTTGACACACCTTACAGTTTAAACCTACTATCATTTCTTAGTAATAAAGTTTTTGATAGAGTTAGCTTGAGAGTGTGGGCCTAATTTTTTGATAGAGTTAGCTTGAGAGTGTGGACTAAGTTAAATACATAGCTTGTCCTCTAACGCTTTAGTAAACAGTAGGTTGAGGCAAGATAGCTTGTCCTCTAACACTGTAGTAAACAGTAGGTTAAGACAAGATAGCTTGTTCTCTAACACTGTAGTAAACAGTAGGTTAAGACAAGATAGCTTGTTGCCTAACACTGTAGTAAATAGTAGGTTAAGACAAGATAGCTTGTCCTTTAACACTGTAGTAAATAGTAGGTTAAGACAAGATAGCTTGTCCTCTAACACTGTAGTAAACAGTAGGTTAAGACAAGATAGCTTGTCCTCTAATACTGTAGTAAACAGTAGGTTGAGACAAGATAGCTTGTTCTCTAACACTGTAGTAAACAGTAGGTTGAGACAAGATAGCTTGTTCTTTAACACTGTAGTAAACAGTAGGTTGAGACAAGATAGCTTGTCCTTTAACACTGTAGTAAACAGTAGGTTGAGACAAGATAGCTTGTCCTCTAACACTGTAGTAAACAGTAAGTTAAGACAAGATAGCTTGTTGCCTAAAACTGTAATAAACAGTAGGCTGAGACAAGATAGCTTGTTGCCTAACACTGTAGTAAACAGTGGGTTAAGAAAAGATAGCTTGTCCTTTAACATTGTAGTAAACAGTAGGTTAAGACAAGATAGCTTGTTGCCTAAAACTGTAGTAAACAGTAGGTTGAGACAAGATAGCTTGTTCTTTAACACTGTAGTAAACATTGGGTTAAGACAAGATAGCTTGTTGCCTAACTCTATAGTAAGCAATAGGTTAAGACAAGATATCTTGTTGCTTAACTCTATAGTAAACAGTAAGTTAACACTAACTATTTTCTTATCTAACTCTATAGTAAACATTAGGTTAACACTAATTATCTTGTGAAACTCTGGTGAAACTAATGGATTCTTGCATAACGATTCAAGTTTGATATCATCACGTTTATCTTTGATTAGAAAAACCGTTTTCCTTGTTCTATCCTCTGCGAAGTTATTGGGAGGAAGGTTTACTAGACTTGTGAAGAGTTTTTATACTCCTAGTTGTTTACAGTGACATTCCCACCCTTACTCTCATCCTTGGAGTACTGTGAAAAAAGATTTGTTTGAAAATTGTGGTGTGGGTTCTTCTCTTGTCCCTCTTGATTTAACTACTTTCTTAATAGTATTTAACTACTTTCTTAATAGTATTTAACTCCTTTTTAATAGTATTTAACTGCTTTCTTAATAGTATTTAACTTCTTTCTTAATAGTATTTAACTCCTTTTTAATAGTATTTAACTACTTTCTTAATAGTATTTAACTCCTTTCTTAATAGTATTTAACTCCTTTTTTAATAGTATTTAACTACTTTCATAATAGTATTTAACTCCTTTCTTAATAGTATTTAACTCCTTTTTAATAGTATTTAACTACTTTCTTAATAGTATTTAACTCCTTTCTTAATAGTATTTAACTACTTTCTTAATAGTATTTAACTCCTTTCTTAATAGTATTTAACTCCTTTTTAATAGTATTTAACTGCTTTCTTAATAGTATTTAACTCCTTTCTTAATAGTATTTAACTACTTTCTTAATAGTATTTAACTCCTTTCTTAATAGTATTTAACTCCTTTCTTAATAGTATTTAACTACTTTCTTAATAGTATTTAACTCCTTTCTTAATAGTATTTAACTTCTTTCTTAATAGTACTTAACTCCTTTCTTAATAGTATTTAACTACTTTCTTAATTGTATTTAACTACTTTCTTAATAGTATTTAACTACTTTCTTAATAGTATTTAACTCCTTTCTTAATAGTATTTAACTCCTTTTTAATAGTATTTAACTTCTTTTGTAATAGTATTTAACTCCTTTCTTAATAGTATTTAACTACTTTCTTAATAGTATTTAACTCCTTTTTTAATAGTATTTAACTCCTTTCTTAATAGTATTTAACTACTTTCTTAATAGTATTTAACTCCTTTCTTAATAGTATTTAACTTCTTTCTTAATAGTATTTAACTCCTTTCTTAATAGTATTTAACTTCTTTTTTAATAGTATTTAAGTACTTTCTTAATAGTATTTAAGTACTTTCTTAATAGTATTTAACTTCTTTTTTAATAGTATTTAACTCATTTTTTAATAGTATTTAACTTCTTTCTTAATAGTATTTAACTCCTTTCTTAATAGTATTTAACTGTATTTTTTCTGAGTGTCATAGACTCGTATCGATTATCAGATCAATATTTCTATATCGAGTTTATCTTTCTCTCTCTTCATCTTTATTGACTAACCGATCGACCGCTGTCCTATTCGTTTTTTTTTTTTTATCTTTTCTACGTGAATTATATATTTTTACCAAGCGGAATGTCTCGTCCCGTCGAAATCATGAGATCAGTAAAACTACGGCTGTACGGTGGGCATATAGCATAACAGTACCTTGACGTTTTCCCGTCGCTTTTACTAAGAACTAATTCAGCCGTTAAATGTCCGTTCGCATTACATCTTGCCGTGTCCAGAAACAACGCTCGTTATCTTTTTCTGTAGACGTGTCATGTGGAGCCGGAGATGAAAATTTTCTTATAAACAGTGTAGTTCTCTTTTTCTCTCTCCATTTCTCCAGAAAACAACAACTGAGTGAAGCAAGATGTTTCAAAAACAAGTTGTGTAAAACAAAGAATACTCGAGACATACCCTCCCACCTTACAGGTGCTACTTTTAGTATATTTGTATATTATAATTATTCTGTCAGGAACATCACTTAGAGGTAGATACGGCAACGTAATTCGCTACCTTGGAAACACCAACAGCCAATCACTTACCTGCTTACTCGACAATCGATCTCACAGCAGGCGGCACAAACTCGGGAGGAGGTGACTTAGGTTACTGTTCCCATGGCAACAAGAGCCATGAGCCCTCTGGAGAAAAGGTTTCAGTTCCAATATATATTATTTCCGATTTTCCTTTAAAAAGAATAAAGTTCGAGATATTTACTTTCCGTAGAAAACGTGCAGTAATATACGCCATTATTGAGGTAACACCCAATAGAAGAACCTCTGAAGGGAGTAGAGCCCCAACCCTTGGGCAGCCAATTCCTCGCACGTGCGCATGCATCGATCAGAGACTCACACCCTGGGCGTGCGTCACTATTGGGAGGAGTTAATTTTCAGAGCTCTGCCTCTAGACAAACATTAAGGGCCTGAGGCTGGAGATAGACGTACATTTCAAATCGTTCCCCACTCGCTTTTCCTCTTGTAGTGACGGTGACGGACAAATTGGCCGCTCTGTTTAGTTAACGGATTGGCTCAGCCTGTGGCTACAACGAAAACGCGTCCACGTCGTTTCTCTAATAGAACACTCTTACAACAATACAAAAACTTTCTGACCGTTACATAGTGAGCAAGATGGTTTCTGTGATGAACCTGCTGCACGGAGACAGACCTACGATCCACGTCTCAGCACCGAGCGCCCTAAACCCTTACCCAACTTCCCTCGCTCAGGTGTCTCAGTCTGTCGGTCAGGGCCTTGGCGGCCATGCCATCCAACGAACACCGTTCGCCATTCAAGAACTTTTGGGCCTCGATAACCAGAGGGAAAATTCACCTCCTTCTCACAGATCTACATCTTTAAGCCTAACCACACCGACGCCTGTAGCTGGGCCTACATGCCCCACGTTTCCACCCAGGGGTCTCGGCTCCCAGCCCGGTCCAACACAATGTTTCCCAGATCCAAGTCGCATGTACTTTGGTCCAGCAGGATTCATGCCTGGTATGTCCGTTCCATCCGGCATGACAGGAGTCACGGGACTTCACGGAGTAACGGGAATGCCGTCAGTATCCAGCTGTATGCCCATGGTGACCTTCGAACAACCGGCGCCAGGAATTCGGCAACACGGAACAACAGGTAGGAATTTAGTTTTTCGGTGTTTTAACAAAAGGTCTAACATAACTCAACAACTTGAATGTCGATACTAGTACTTCATAAACTAAAACTTCCTAATTTGTACTGCGTCATAAACACATTAAATATAGTCAGGAATCTGACAGAGTTAGGAAAATAAAAGCCTTAAGTGTTTGATGATCAATCTATAGAACTATAGATTAAAGTAGGGTTGATAGGAAGATTTCTAGGGTTCAAGTAAGGTTGATATGGATATTGTAGGGTTAAGCTAGGGTTTACTCTGGAGATTTCTAAGTTAAAGTAGGGTTGATAGGAAGATTTCTAGGGTTTAAGTGAGGTTGATATGGATATTTTTAGGGTTAAGCTTGAGTTACTCTGGAGATTTCTAAGTTAAAGTAGGGTTGTTCTGGCGATTTCTGCGTTAAAGTAGAATTGTTTTGGAGATATTTAGGGTTGAAGTAATGTTGCCTGGAGATTTTTATGGTTAAAGCAAGATTTCTCTGGAGATATTTATGGTAAAAACAGGGCTGCTTTTAATATTTCGAGGGTTAAAGTATGGTTTCTCATGAGATTTAAATTTGTAAAGGTTTAGTAAAGCAGGAATAATATGGAGATTTCATATTATAGGACTAAAGATTGAATGCTGTATAGTGTTGTTTTGAAGATGCCATTGTATAAGGATTAGTAGAGCAGGATTATTCTGGAAATTTCTGGCTTCAAAGGAAAAGGTTGATTGGAGTGGCGTTTATTCAATTATTTATTTGTTGTTGTTTTGAGATTTTTACAGAATGAATAGATTTGTTGGAAGAAACATGTCACAATAAAAGTAAGTCACGTGAAATAAGAAAATAAAACATATTGGATTATTTAACTAGTAGATCACTAAACGACATTTGCCTTCGTCCCATGTTTCAATCTCAGATGACAGTGATCTGATTGGGTAAGTAATGCTACCGAACGTATTACAATAAGTGCAATAAAACATGGCCTCGATTAGTTGAAAACATACTCTAGGTTATGTGTAGGCTTTAAAAATTCTCTAACGTGTAAGAATCTTTACAGATTCTCACAAGAATCTCTGATCTTCTCTTATCAACAATATTTCACCAACGTGTACGTGATTCTCATCAGAATTGAACACTGATTTCCGAAAATTGCCGACAGTATTTTTTTAGAACACAACCAAGATTTTCGGCTCCATTGACGTGGCGGTATATTGTTGTGTAATTGAAGGTTTCATATTCGTTTTATTCTCTCTTATTATTTACTTTACTTAATCAATTTGAATCAAAATTTGTTGAAAGAGAAAATAGATATTGAAAGCTCAGATTTGCCCCCCTGTGGCTCAGGGGAAAGTCTGAGGGCTTATACCGCTAAAAGTCGGGTTTCAATGCTGCTGTGGGCAAAGCATTGAGTAACTGTGTACTTGAGAAGAAACTTGACAAGAGTTGGTAGTAACCCTACATTTGATCAGACCGGAAACAGAAGAGTTAACCAACTAAAAGCAGGTAATTTGATTCATATTTAGTTTTTTTTTTCTAAACTATTCACTGAGCTATCCGTGCTGTGCCAACCACCGGTATCGAATCCCGATTTTTAACGTTATAGGCTTTCAGACTTACCGCTGAACAACTGAGATATAATTCATAATAATAATGCTAATATACCAGGAATTCAGAAGATAGAAATCAAAATGATATCCAATTGTTTGTTACTCTCTTTAAATTAATCAAACTTAATTTTCAACTTGACCTTTATGAAGAGGATCACTGCCTAACTAACAATACGTTATTTGACTGACACGCGGATATTATTTCATGATTGACTGATTATGGTGAAAATTATGACGTGATAAATGAAGCCGAATTCTTGAATGTACTGAACTCCCTGTAATAAACTGAATAAAAACACAGAGGGGGGTATGGGGCTCGTGTTAAAATGACGAAATAAAGCACGTGTTATGACGTCTGAATGTTGGTCAAACTCCCTCTAGTGTTGATATATTCAACAACGAAACATATAAATGTGTTGGTGAGATAGAATAAGATTTATTACCAATAACTTTTAACCAATGAGAATTTGTTTTACATCATTTCGTTGAATGAAGGGTCGAATTCCGGAAATAGCACGTGTTAGGATATCACGTGCGCATATCCGATTTCTCTGTAGTGTTTTCCGTCATATGATTTAGTATCTCGGTGGGTCAGTAGTAAGTTTACGCTAAAATTCGATGGACTAAACGGACTATAGAGTAAGTTACATAGATTAGATAAGTTGTGTACAAAAGTCTTCAATCAGAGTCTGTACTTACAACATATGTAACAGTTAAGGGATGTAGAGTGACGTTCTTCGGGTTCAGCTATAACTGTCATATAGGACAGTCTTCAATCAGAGTCTGTACTTACAAGACATGTAACAGTTAACGGATGTAGAGAGACGTTCTTCTGGTTTAGCTATAACTGTCATATAGGACAGTCTTCAATCAGAGTCTGTACTTACAACACATGTAACGGTTAAAGAATGTAGAGTGACGTTCTTCGGGTTCAGCTATAACTGTCATATAGGACAGTCTTCAATCAGGGTCGTGTACTTACAACACATGTAACAGTTAAAGGATGTAGAGTGACGTTCTTCGGGTTTAGCTATAACTGTCATATAGGACAGTCTTCAATCAGGGTCTGTACTTACAACACATGTAACAGTTAAAGGATGTAGAGTGACGTTCTTCGGGTTTAGCTATAACTGTCATGTGGGATGTTAGATTTATTATATTTTGAGTTCTGTGATTCTTTATGCGGACTATTTTAAAACTCGCCATGTTAATGACGTGAATACGGGTGTAACGATAGAACTTGTGTTAATAACATGAATACGGTGTAACGATAGAACTCGTCGTGTTAATGACGTGAATACGGGTGTAACGATAGAACTCGTCTTGTTAATAACATGAATACGGGTGTAACGATACAACTCGTCGTGATTATCATATGAATACAGGTGTAATGATAGAACTCGTCGTGTTAATGACATGAATACGGGTGTAACGATACAATTTCTATAACAAAATATAAACAGTTAAATTGAGCCGTCTAAGTTAGTTTTGGACGAAAATTCACTCAAACATAGCAGTAGATATGCGATATTATACATTCGTAATGAAAGCGGACATATATGTTAAATATGTTATGTTTTTATCAGTTCCTAAAGGACTACAGAGAATAAATATGTTTGACAAGTCTAATAATGTTAAACTTTCATATAACTATATTATATTTTGACGGCTTTCACTTTATGTAATCTAACTAGCCTCTGGATTACATGATGTTCGTTAAGAACAAACTTGTACTTCATGTAATCTAACTAACCTCTGGATTACATGATGTTCATTAAGAACAAACTTGTTCTTCATGTAATCTAACTAGCTTCTGGATTATACGATGTTCATTAAGAACAAACTTGTACTTCATGTAATCTAACTAGCCTCTGGATTACATGATGTTCATTAAAAACAAAATTGTACTTCATGTAATCTAACTAGCCTCTGGATTACATGACATCTATTAAGAACAAACTTGTATTTCATGTAATCTAACTAGTCTCTGGATCACATGACATCTATTAAGAACAAAATTGTACTTCATGTAATCTAACTAGCCTCTGGATTACATGATGTTCATTAAGAACAAACTTGTACTTCGTGTAATCTAACCAACACCAGTAGAAATCCAGTATTGAGAGGGACAAAATCTGATCTCTAGTTAACATAAGATAAATCCTTTCTCCTGTGTGATACTGGAGATCTATCCGGGAAACCAACTGGAGCTGAGTCACAGGAGTTCCAAGGGAGGTAAACCTTCGAATTTGAGAGACGAAACCTTCCAACTATTAACATTTTCAAGTGTAACACATTTCTGCAGTTCGCTACAACACATTCTAGGTTAGATGCGGTCGTTTTATCCACATATACATGACTTTTTTACTATTGTTTAGGGGATATGTTCTGATTACCTATAGTCGCTAAAACCATATTTATATCCTGTTTACATCTTTCGTGACATAGCGGTCCATACTAGGCCCAATATCTTATACACAACCTCTTTCATTGTTTCTGAGAAAGATTTTTGTATAGTTTATTTAGTGTTAGTACATACAAGTTCGTTTTCTAGCATCACTATCACCGAGAACACACATTCCAATATCCACGAGTAATATACTTTCAATTCCGCTAAGTCTCAGTCGAGTTGACCGGCAACTAAACGATCGTCTTACACATATATACTGTATCCAGAGTTTGATTTCGGCTGAAATAGCTATAATATTAATTTCGCAATGTAATTCTGAGAACTGGCATAACGAGTTAATGATATAATATCAGAGTTAACAGAATCAGTTTCAAATTACAGAACAGGAGACTGCACGTGCTTACAGTCCACTGAGAACCCTCATTAATTAATTTCTTGTCAGAACCGTAGGTAAGTGAAGAAAATTCGATTGCTAAAAACACTTAACTAGAAAGCAGAGATTTAAACCCGAAATATAGCATAGTTCAATTCAAATCCATAAAGATAGGCAGTCAGTGACTTGAAACACGTTCGTAACCTTAAAACGTCCAATGTCTTTTAAGATACTTATAACATAATGGTGTCCAGTATCTTAACTAATATTAATCATGTTTCGTAGACTGGTAATACACAGTGCCTTAGTTAAACCTATTCGTAACCGGATAGTAAACAGTGTCTTAGTTAAACCTATTCGTAACCGGATAGTAAACAGTGTCTTAGTTAAACCTATTCGTAACCGGATAGTAAACAGTGCCTTAGTTAAACCTATTCGTAACCGGATAGTAAACAGTGTCTTAGTTAAACCTATTCGTAACCGGATAGTAAACAGTGTCTTAGTTAAACCTATTCGTAACCGGATAGTAAACAGTGCCTTAGTTAAACCTATTCGTAACCGGATAGTAAACAGTGCCTTAGTTAAACCTATTCGTAACCGGATAGTAAACAGTGTCTTAGTTAAACCTATTCGTAACCGGATAGTAAACAGTGTCTTAGTTGAAAATGTTTGTAACCTGATAGTATATAGTGTCATATTTTAACATGTTCGTAACGTGAGGATATACAGTGTCTTAGTTAAACATGTTCGTAAACTGATGATAAGCACTGTTTTATTTAACTTCGCTTAACCTGGTGATGTTCAGTATCTTGATTACCTTCAAATGACTCAGTGTTGTGAAGTGTCATGACTTTTCCAGTTCTAAAGAAACTGTCTCTCAACCGTTTCGTTTGTTCAAACTTCATTCAACATCTCCGCCCTGTTCTAAATTGAACATTTCTCATCCCATAAACCACGTCACTGTATTGGTTTACTTATAGCTTTCAACTTTAAAATGTATTTCAAATCTTTACTTATGATGCATTTATATTTTAAAATGTTGTTTTTGACTTGTAAATGAGAGGGAAACAAAATACTGTAAATCTATATATATATATAATAGTACTGTCCGTTGTATGTAACTACTTATACTATAAATCTGTAAAAATATAATAGTACTGGCTGTTGTATATAACTACTTATACTGTAAATATGTATAAATATAATAGTACTGCCCGTTGTATATAACTACTTATACTATAAATATGTATAAATATAATAGTACTGGCCGTTGTATGTAACTACTTATACTGTAAATCTGTATAAATATAACAGTACTGGCTGTTGTATATAACTACTTATACTGTAAATATGTATAAAATATAACAGTACTGTCTGTTCTATATAACTACTTATACTGTAAATCTGTATAAATATAATAGTACTGGCCGTTGTATGTAACTACTTATACTATAAATCTGTATAAATATAACAGTACTGTCTGTTGTATTTAACTACTTATACTATAAATCTGTATAAATATAATAGTACTTTCTGTTCTATGTAACTACTTATTTTGTAAATCTGTATAGATATAATAGTACTGTCTGTTGTATGTAACTACTTGTATATAAATATAATAATACATTCTATTATATATCCATGTAACTACTTCTATATAAATATAACAGTACTGCCTGCTGTATGTAACTACTTCTCTATAAATATAAAAATACTGTCTCTTGTATGTAACTACTTATATATAA